AATTCTTTTGTGTTTAAAATACTTTTTCCCCATTTGTTTCTATTGTCCAAAAGGTTTTGGAATAACTTTACAAGCTGCATGGATCAATCTATTGACAGCGTTCAGTGTTATAGTTTATCTTAAATTATTTAATTCTGAAGATATTATGTGTAATGTTGAATAATTAACTGCCAATACACATAAAACAAGGGCTTTTTCAGTCTTGTTCTAGTCAAAGGAATGTAACGTCTCTCTTTCCACTGATACTGACATGCACGAACAAAGTGCGCTCACTTTGCGATCAGCGCGTACTACATTATTTTTTTAGTTCCTCAAAGAGAAAGAGAATTGTGTGCTCACACTTCTTTTACTCATGTTCGGTCATGGACTATTTTGAAACATAGGCTAACATGTAGTTTAGCTCTGCTTTAGCAAATAAGCAATATTGCAGATGCTGTGAGCAGTCAGCATTTCAACGGTTAAGCAATATCTAATTTGATTCGTTTATAATTGTGTTACTAAGGTCAAATGTGAAGTCTCTACAGATTTCTAGGTGTGCAAAGCTGGACAAATTGGTTGATTGAAGGCCGCGAAACAGAGATAGCACTTATGTCGATTATTCTATCCCCAGCAGGTTAACCTTGGGGTCGTAACAAGGGACCACACTCGTCATAAATTCGGAAATTGTGGCCAACAAGGGAGTTGTCATGAGACCCCGGGCGGCCTAAGGTCACCTCTGGCTTGTTGGGTTGCCTTGGTGATGGACCTTACCTTCGTGTCTTCACTTGAGTCTGTGTATTCAAGATTACTGACAACTCTGATACTTGCTGGTACACGGCGTTGTGTCCAAGGCTGTCTCAAGAACTTGCATTGTTGGAGGTAAAATTTCGTCATATAATTCAGTTAAAACATTATGTTATTTAATTAGAACCCTGTGAATGACATAGCATTTGCCACAGGGGCTAAAAATGGCAAAAAGAAGTATTTTGGTTCATTTTGTCAGTCTGAAGGCAGCACGTATATTTGTTCTTTTCAAAGGGGGCGAATATATTTATACGAATTTGGTTTCGATTTTGATGGTTAGTTTTTAAAAATCTGAATTGGGAATTCGACTTGCATTTAAAAATGCCTCAATATTTACCTAGATATAACCTCGAAACTCGTACTATGCTATGTTCAGCTTAAAAGTAAAGACATATCTGCTTGTTTAAACCCAAAAACTACAATTATATGCTGTCATAGAATGGTGAGGAAAACACGGTCTTCTTTTTGCGCCGTGAAATGCAGCTGTAAATATGATTGCCATTCTTGGCAGGCGCATTGACATTGGCTGTAGATTAAAGCCAATTTTATCCTTCGTGACGAATTTCCTTGACACCACGATCTTGTTAAACAGCAGCATAGCCTGTCCTCTGGTTGCAAATTGCATTTCATAGTTTTACGCACGGTGGGACTTCATTATTGATCTTCGGGGTAAAAATTCACAGTGGTAAAGTCATACACTTCATGTATAATCTTCCGTTGTATTTTTACAATCCACATAGTTCTAGCAACTGTTTTATGTTTAGCGTTTTGTCAGCAGTACGTTTCTTTTGGTGTTTTTGGGCGAAGCGGACATAAGTTGGTTTTGGGGTCTGAGTCATTTGACATTGTAGGCACTGAAGTCTTTATTTGCATCATCGTATTCACGAAAGTGGAAACCCTGGGAGCAGAATTTTCTCCAATAGATATGTATGAAAAAGAGGAAATAAGGCACGATTCCAATAATATGTTCACTCCAGGCACGTGATCACAGCTGAGTTTGACCCAGCAATTTTGTAACTAAATAAATGCTTTGTTTCGGCAAACATTGACATCATACGAATGTTGTTCGGATAGTGTTTATGGATCAGTAAATTTCAATGCAATTATGAAAGAGCTTTTACGGACTTGAGCTTTGCAAATTAACAAGCGTATTGGGATTAAGAATTTCTTCTAGGTTTTTGATGATGAGGAAAATGAGGTGACCGTAGAGGTAACGTGGACGCTTATCGCTTATCAAACAGGATTTCTGCTTGATTAGCCTTCTGACAGACAGAAAGTGGAGGCTGGAATCAGTGACTCGACAAATTAAATAAATCATGGATCAGATGGGACTGGGTGAAATATCTTGCACAGTCAGTTTGGGACTTGACATGACATTAGGCTAGGAGGTAAATGATTTGATCAGGTAAGATCAAGCGTTAGATAACAATTGTTCGTAGTTGTTTTTCATCCGTCTTTGGTAAAGCTCACTGTCAGTCAGAGTTTATCTTCGCTGAGCCTTGACTGTCGCTGGCTAATTTCACGAAAGGGTTGGTTTTACTAAAAAAGATCATTTGAAAAAATCTTGTTCCTGTTTGTCTATGTTTATTTTCACATTAAGACGTCGTGTCATCCATCAGTGCTAAAACTCCCACTAATATTCTTGAAAGAAATGTGTTTCGAGTAATATTATCTTCAGGAAATACTTTAATACCGGTATATTATCAAACCTCTCTTCCCTGCATATTTTCGTTTCAGATAGATGGAAACATCTTCATCGTCATCCCCAGGACATGCAAGCAGATATTGCCTTTTAACACCTCTGTCGTTCCCAACCACTCGATCAAAAATCCTGAAGAAGTCATTACAGGGGATAAGTTCGACGTTGTCACCTGTGTGTGAGTCTAGTCCATCGTTCTCTTCAGACTCCTCAAGACTTGCCTGCAGTCAAGAGAGCGATGTTGAGAAGTAGAAAGTACTAGTTCCATTGAGAACGATAAATGACTTTCAACGAGGACTGCGGGACTATGGTAAAAAAAATTAACGGAAGTTCTTGAACCTCAACCTCTGATAAAAGTGCACTTTGTTTGAGTGGCTATTCCTGTGCTGCTGTTAACATGTCACCTGTAATTTCTTATTGTTCCTTCGACTGATGGTTCGTCAGATGGAATCTTATGATTTAATCATCAGGCACTTAACTTGTGTAATGCGCAAAACTGCTTAGAATAATCACAACTACAGTATCGTGCTTGAGTTGGGATAACTGTGATTTATCAAAATGGAAATTCCAAGCCTCTGCAACGTTTCCTACGATTACCTCATTGATGACGCGACTCTGAGAGAAAATCGCTACAACAGCGCGTCAAGTTTTGTTTATGATGTGGCGTATGACTGTTACTCCCGTAACAGCGTATGTGCCTATTACTTGTATGAACTGACGGGGGAGACGCTAATCGATCACTTGCAGTATATTATGCCACCACAGCATTACGCCTACGCCCAGGTTATCCCATTTGTAACGCTTGTGGCCTTGCTGTGTTTGGTTGGTATTATTGGAAATCTTCTAACAATAGTGGTGATATTAAGGAATCGTATCCTGCAAACAACATCCAATTACCTGGTCAATATGGCTTTCTCGGATCTTCTGATCCTTTTACTGACGGGACCGATGGAAGTAGCCTATGAATTGAAAGCATGGCCCTGGACATACACTCGCTTCATGTGCCGACTCAGGTACTTTCTGATCGAGGCTTGCACATTCACGTCGATTCTGAATATTACTTCCTTCACAACCGAGCGTTACATCGCAATTTGTCATCCCATTAAAGCAAAGTCTTACGTCTCGCATTCACGCGCCATCAAAATCATCGTTTTCATTTGGATTTTCTCCTCTTGTGTAAGCCTCCCTCTATTTTTGGGTGTTGATACTTTTGAAGTATGCCCCGAGATACCAGAAACCACGGTATGCGGTTATCCTGATGCTTACTGGGAGACGGTTATAGACCGTTTCTACATCGCCTCTGCTACATTGCTCTTTTTTATTCCCATGATTTTGATCACAATATTCTACTCCTTGATTGCGCGGGTATTATACGGATTCAACGTAGAGGTGGTAGTGCGTCGGAACTCCAGAAGAGCAAGGAACAGAAATGGGGTCAACCCCAACGACAAGAAAGAAAACTCCGTGGAGAAATCTCGGAAGCAGATTGTTAAAATGTTAGGTGAGTTTCCGTCTTGTTTTCAGGACTGGTACTCTTCATGGTAAAGCGTTTGATTTGCATGTACGTACGTCTGAGTCGAAGAAACAACAGCGAGTGGCTATAAATCGAATGAACTTGTTGAGTGTTAAAAGTCTCAACATGAAGGCGAGGATCTAGAGGGAGGAGGGGTGGTTAACCCCCTCCTCCGTCACCCCCCCCAAAAAAGTGGAAGAAAAGAAAAGAAAAAAATAATAAAGGGAGGGAGAAAAGAAATAACAAATGTATTTATAATAAAAAGATGACATCCCACTGCCATGCACCCCGCTCAGAAATTCCTTGATTGGACCCTGGACAGCCCCACTCAAAAATTCATGGATCCGCCCTTGCCATGTACCCCAATCAAAAACTCCTGGTTCCGCCCCTGACATGCCCCCACTCTGTATGTAATTGATTGAATAATAGCAATACGCTACAACCTTTAATTTAGTTCACTTGAGTAAGGTATACAAAGGATAGGTTTTCAATCGTTTTGACGCTTATTGTGACGGTTTAATTTGGTATAAAATTAAAGCCACTGATTTTTCATTCCTTGTAGCTTTGGTAGCAGGTTGCTTCGCAGCCTGCTGGCTACCGTTTCACATCATCCGAATCATTCCAAACTTCGTCGATATAAAGCTGAGTGAGACACTGAGTACTATTTATTACGATGTGCTGTATAAAGTCTCCATCGTCTTGATGTACACCAGCGCCACAATCAATCCAATCCTTTACAACATCATGTCAGCTAGGTTTCGTCAGGCCTTCAAGAAGACCATCCTCTGCCAAGAAGTAAGGTCACCTCCAAACTCTAGAGGGGGCTATACTTCAACTTCAATGGTCATGCAAAGCTCTGTTTAGTTTGGCATATGCATGATGCTGCATGTGAAAATACATACTTCGCATCACAAAACTGTTGCGGTTCTTTGGTCAATGCACTCGTTACGGACTTGTTCAAGCTGTGCTGTTGTAGCTGGACGTGTCATGGATTCCTTCCCTTATCCTTAATAGATGACCCCCGTACATTTCGTTTCTTGCATGACTGCCTGATCCATTTCATTTTTGCATGTTCAAAGATTGTGCTTGTCTCATTTACATTGGGATTACATTTTGATTAAAGATCACTTTAGATCCTCGCTTAAGTTGACGTAGCTGGATAGTTCAGGTTGACAGTTGCTTCTTCGGAAGTATTGCCACTCGTTTATTGCATAATCATTTGAATGATTGTCCTTTAGGGGCCTATGGTAGGTTTTACATTGGGCCGGAACCAAGATTATGCAGGTATCTCTGTTTCGTCCGAATTTCTTAATTTCATGTTTATTCTCCGGCCATTTTCTGCTCTGAGACATCGATCGCTTTATTACAATATCTGTGGAAAATTTGAAAATCTGCGGGAATCTGTGGGAAATTCACCTGCTTTAAAAACAGTATGGTAACACATTAATTAAGGCGTTTAGATGTATCAGCTGTTTGGAAGAGAAGCGCTGCAAAAACTGGTGACAAGCATTAATGAGATAAGGTTTATGTAGCAATTCTCTTGGGAATGAGGTTGAGGAGGTGAGGTTGAAGGTGTCGGGAAAAATTCTTGTCTTGTTTCTCCGATTCTGTAGAAAATTTCAATCTGCCTTATAAATAAAACAAATGCCTGAAAGTTTTGTCATGATTTGTTCGTGAGTTCAGTTTTCTTCGTCCAAGCAAATTAAATCCTTAAAACAAATGTTTTCTTGATGCCGAGACGAAATCATGTCATATTTCCTGTATGACGTTGTATGGTTGGCTATGACAGACTGCAGTTTCTTGCTTGCTTTTGTTTGATAAGGCTGATAGATTTTGTAGTAATTTCCGGATAACATGCCTAGTTTGGCCAGTGTACCGTTGTCGAAGGAACAACCATTGTGGTATGCAGGTGTATGCTTCCTGTATGCGTCTAGGAAAACAGCGACATAACACAGAGTATAAGTACTTCTTTAAAATGTTCATTTTGGTTTTAACATTTTTTAATGCACGTCGTTATTGCTAAGATCATCGACTAGACACGGTAGCTCAGTAATGCACGTCGTTCTACATCATGCGACTTACGCACAACAAACTACAAATACCCATACGGAAGCTGTCACGAACCACGGAATAAGACTTCTCGTAACATAACGACTTCGCAGTGACTCCATATCTTGGAATGATTGCCACCAGATTGTGTTCTGGCTTTCCTGTGTATATCCTCTTGGATTTCTTTAGGTTTTGGGTTTTGGTCTGTTTGTTTTTTTCGAAAACGATTCACAAGCTCCTCATTTTCGCAAGTGCATTATACACACCACAAATTACAATGGGGTCTTTCGACAGAGTTGCTATGTGTTTGATAAAAGTTATTTCATTGTCAATAAATATATTTATCAGTGTTGATAGATGCATGTAAAAATTTCCCGTAACGTGGAATGCGTTTAGTTTACCTTGATTTGAATTCCCAATTTAAGATCTTGGGTAGTATTGAGCTGTTATTCAGTATCGGGGAGTAGTTCACTTTCGGATTTGTCATATTTCAACTTACTCAACTTGCCTGTTTTCGTATATATGTTGTCGAACGGAATCCTGATTTCCTTTTTAGTCCACTGGTGGCCTTTCATAAATTAGACATTCTTAAACATTCTGTTGCTGACTTCCATGCAGTCAATTAGATTGCTGTATTGTTTCATTTATAATTTATTTTGAGTAGAGTTGGTGTTTTCACAAGCATGCTAAAAATGCTGGAGGTTTTACTGTTTTAGATTTTCCTGTACATAAACATTTTGTTTAAGTTGTCCACAATTATTCTGCTGTTTTCCGTATTTCATAACATGCAATTTGATTCTGAATACGGTCGGTGAGCGCACTAAGTGTGTAGAACGATATATACATGTAGCAAGAGGCTTATGAGTTTGAGGAGTTTGAAGAGCTTGAAGGATATTTCTGCGTGTATAGTTCGCATTGTGGTAGTAGCTAAAATAGCCAGAAGGTATTATCTATCAATTAAATCAAAGCAATTGGTCAGAATTCATTGTTAAAATAACTTTTTAAAGCACTTGACCGGCAATCATTGGAGTGTTTTGCCTTTCGAAATGAGTGTGAAAAACTAGTTGTGTTGTATCACTTATCAAGCAGTTTATGTGACTTATTAGAAGTAATAGTTGAAAACCAATTCATGAATTTAAATTGCCTTTGTGGTTCAAAATGATGAATGAAATAATGAATCAATAAACAATAGTCTTAATATAACAGGAAAAAAGGATATATGATACGTGTTATTAAAATTAAAATACTCAAATAATAATCTCTGCACTCAGAAATCTCTAAGTATCCGGTGTATATAATGTATAAATGTTATTGTATTCATTTGTAAAGGAAAATGTTATATATTAGTATTCAAAATATATACTAATCAAATTAAAAATTATACATTACATCGTGTTTGTTGGTAACGTCGTATTGAAATGTAGTGTAGGTTTCATAGATGCAACTTGAATAATGTAATCTGGGGGTAAGTTGAACAATTTGCCTTAATCTTTGCATATCAAAGGTAATACCATGAGGTTGAGTACGTGCAGAAGTTTGCATAGAACCATTTATACAAATTCCTGTATAAAATCGGAATTAGTAGCTATCGACAGGAATATACTGACACAGGCAAACCGAACTGATTTTGCCTGTAACGTTTGCTTTTACACCAAATAAGTGATTGAGAAATATCCTACACGATGAGGGAACCTGTATTTCTACGCTTTGGCTTCACATCAAAGGGGAATATGAATTTTAACTTCAAGGTTCTTTTAGAGGTACAGGTGTAGCAATACTTGATTCAAAACCTGTTGCGGAGCTGTGAATATCAGAGTGTCTGCATGGAAAAGTAGTTGGTAGGTTACTTGAGTGTTGATGTATCTTGTAACATTTGAACATGTCAAACATGTATCGAGAATAAAGTGTATAAAGTACATCTTTCAAGTAATAATGAGACATTTCGTTGATTGTGTTTTCTAAGAGGGTTTTAATAAACATGAGTTTAATGCACACTTCAGAAAAGAAAAACCAATGCATTTTAGCCAAATGTTTTTTAGGGACAATTTTTGAATTTGTCTTCTTGTGCTTATTGTTGGTCGCCTTTATAATGTTTGGTGCCTTTGTTGATTGCGTTGTAAAATGACAATTTCTTTTCTTGTTGGTGAATAATTTAAATGCTAAAATGCATTATCGCCTCTGTCCTCTGATTAAATTCCGCCTAAAATTAATTTCTATCTGCCTCTTAAATTGATGAATTTGAATTTTTCCACGATTTTTATTGATAGACATCCTGTTTGCGGCATTTCACACAAAATATGCCACCGTGACGTTACATTCTGTGACAATAAGTGGTCTGCAAACCCCTAACATATTCAGTTTCAGCGGCCAACATTTCGAATTACCTTTCGTTGCTGACACTACAAAACTGACACTTAGAGTTTGTTGGCCTACGTTTGGTCTAGATGTTAGCACGATTGCAAAACGAGAGTCAAAATAATGACAAAACTTCAGAATATTTTAATGTCATATTTAGTATTCCCCAGAACAAACTCGTCAACTAATTATTTGTATTACTGAACATTTGCCGTTTTTTATGACATTTTCATCCCGATTGACTAAGTAAAATTTTCAGTGTGGATTGTCCAGGCTTAGCAGATCACGCATCCCTCTCTGTTGAAATTCGGTAAAGTAAAGTCATACTAGCAGTACCCGATTATCATAATCATTTGGATAGTAAACTTATTCATTATGTACATTTGTGGTGAAGTGCTTATTCTAATAGTGTCCTCTGTAATTCTGGATCCTGTCTTATCAATTTTAGGTGTTTTGTTTTCGCTTAATCGAGATTTGTAGAAAGGGAAAAGAACTCGGCGAAAAAAACCCAAAGTGTACTAGCGAAAGAGCTACATATAATGTTGTTTTCGTGTGAATAAATTATTGGAGTCTATTTCTGGCACCTTTGTAAGCCAGTAATGCGTTTAGTAAGCGAATGAGCTGTTCTGATGATAGTTGAACTACCTGAAAGAAAGAAAATAGTGTGTGGGTAGGAGAATGTTGATTTCTAAATTGCTACAAACAATTATGACTTTCATGCGTTAAACTAGACCTAAAGATTTGTCTTGCCCTCACGTCAATTGCTATATGTGCTTTCAATTTCTTCTCTTGTGCGTCTGATGTCTGAAGTTTCACATGTTTTCGTTTGTCATGCAACAAGGTTGAAGCGCCTCTCGTTAATAATCGTATTCACAGTTATTCTAAAGTCTTTACAATGTTCTGGCTTATTCTTGTTTTAATTTCTGTTTTCTTCATTTTGCACATGCCGTAAATACTTTAAATTTCTTGCCACAAGCCTTTCTATACAAGTCTGTCTAACAGCTGCTTTCGATGTTTGGAGCTAGTCTGGCGCCCTGAACCTGAAGATCAGGTACAATGCTTATACACAAGTTTCTGTGTTTGTAGTCCTTGCATGGCGGTTTGCATGGTTTTTGTCTCACTTTTATTTCAGACTCTTTCATTTCAAATCAAGTGCATGGTTGCAGCTTGTGTCCCGTCTGTTGTCCGAAAACTTGAAAACAAAGGCCTTTAACCGTAACCATCCTCAATCCTTCACTTGAGGACTTCTAGAGTACTTATATTCCCATCTCCCATTTGCTTGTTTCATGGTGCTAGAGATCAAAGACAATCTTGGTGTCTAATTTAGGAAACCTTGAAGAATTTTAGCAGGCAGCAGCTTATTTCTTCATTGGTGCTACCTTTGATCAATGCTAATTGTAACCTCCACTCTCGTAGCATTTCTCCAATAAACTGATGGTCAAGTTCGTGTCAATGAATTCCTCTGCATCATTTTCACGGAATATTTTCCTTCTGACAGCATTTTTTTTTACTTTGACCAATTTACCCAGGTAGGCTATGCACAGTGATTTGTGATTACTGAAAAGAGACCAGATATACTAACTATTGGAAATATATATAAAGAAAGCCAACGTGTTTTTATACGTTGTCACTGTTTTCATGAAGAAACAGTGTGTCCCATAATCATGACTTTTCAATTTTGTTAAAATCAACTAGGCTATGTGATGCCGACATTGTAGCTTGGTGTAAGCATTTTTTGTTAAAACCATGCAAATCCACTGAGGGCAGCCAAATCAGGATGATCGTCGTGGGGCAGTTTTCAACTAATCAGCATCTTCTATTTTTATGAAGAGACTCTGTAAATTACTCTAAAAATGTATAAATATGTAGCAATTTTGCACCTATTACGGTTACCTATTAAAGCACGTGCGTAATCGACACTGCGTACCGTTTTCATGAATAGACAAAATTCACACAAATTTTTGCGTTTTTAAGAACAGACACAGTTCTTGTTTCCAAACTAAACAATTTGAATTGACTTGTATAAATGCTATTTTTGTCTTTTATGTAATTTAAGATCTCCTTTAGTCATGAAGTAGTATTGCTTAGGTCAAAGAAACGCTAGATACTGGGAACTTAGCATTTGAAAATTCATTTGCGATTTTCTCGAAACCTAGTTTTACTCTTCTTCGGTGATGATGTGATCATTGTCACAGTCTATTAACCTAGCCGAAAGTGATGTCGGTAGATTAAGTCTCAGGAGATTGCTTTATGTGTAGGCCTGGCTGTTTTATAATTGATGTTTTACTGCGTATGGTTTACATTCATGATGTGCGATGTTTCGAGGTACCAAAAACGCCGCTTGTGAATATGATCGAATAGGAGCTAGGATATTTTTGGTTTACCTTGTCTTTGACAGTTCTCAATTTGAATTGGTTCCTTGTTTATCTCACGTCACACTTCAGCTCATCTGACTCGTTCTTTCTTTTACCTGATTCCAAAAGCTTAACTTATTAGGAATTCCACGTGATTTGCGGGTAAAAACGCTCTTTCTAGCAAAATCAGGCTAAATATGGAATGGGCACCATCATTGAAGTTTCGTTAAAGCGTTTAGAATATGCCTGTACCGGAAGAGCGAGACTGTATGCACAGTCATGGTGGCTTGCTTCACCAGTGTGGTAGAATAGATCGTTGGTCACAAAGTAATGATCAGAGGTTAAATTGAAAGTCATCTATTCGACTTCATCAAGTACGTTGGATATGTCATGACATGCACCTGTATTTGTTTGTATTTGACAGTGTAGTGGTTCTCTGAACTTTCTTGTTGGTGATATGGTATGCGTTCCATCGTCAAGACTTGTTAAGAAATAATTGTTTGTCTATGGGGAATGGTGTGATGTCTTGTGGGCTTGCAAGTGACTGCAATGTTGATTGAGCATTATAAAAGGTCGTTATGATACATTTAGTAACCCTGAATACTACCTACACGGGTATGAGTCGTACATGCAACGTGGAAGTCTTATTATACCACAGACATTTTTCTTTGTTTCATTGAATAAAATGACTCGTTCCTGTCGAGCATTTATTATCCTCACTATAAGAAAATGTCACACACTCAAGTTAACTTCGCTTTTAATAACTTACAGTTGTCTGTTTATTTCTTTCAACTTCTATATACCATTCTGGGTAATGTTTGGGATAGCATGTTTCACGGTATTTATCACATGCATGAGCTTGTTTTGTTGTCGCTTTTGTTCTTTGCCCAGTTGCTGTACGCATGGAGTACAGAACCAATTGGTTTATCCGTTAAAACAATATTTCAATAGTTTTTTTTTTATAAAAAGATGACCCTTAAGGTAATTTGTATGATTGATGGCATTTTTGTCAGTAATATTGAACGTAGCTTTTCGATAAACTAAAAGTAATTCTTATTTTCATATTATTTTATTAGTGCTTTTCAAATTGTGCCTTTACATAACAGTAAAGTCTCACTTTCACTGAGGTTACCTTCAGTACTGTCCTGTAATCTTATTTGACTTAACGTCTCGGCTTTTGTAGTAATTGTTTTCATTTGCTTGTCTGCGCGTCGCCGTAGTCCTTTTTTCCATCCCTGAAGTTACCCAAGTCCTTGCTGGGCATCAATCCTGGAAATATCGAAAGCGTGGACGTTCTTTTGACTGTAAATATGTCGTTCACATTTCATCCATTTAGCGGGGAGGTCCAAACTGGGGGGGGGTGTTTGCGGCCTCTTTGTTTTTATTTCTACTGATTAATTTTAATGCGTTATGTGTATATTTTTTCAGGAATACTTGTTCATTTTTTTATTTTTAATTTCAAATGGCACTTGGGTTTGATGTATATTCCAAATAATTCCTTTAAGACCACACTATGCTTTGAACGTTTGCTTCCAATTTTCAGTGCCTTTCGTTGCTCATTGTTTATAATCAATTTGTTTGTTAATACGGTCGATTCGCAATAGTGGGCCTCCAAGACTTTGCAACGCATTAGCCGATCACATCGTGCGAAATCTGTCAGCCCTTTTCAAATGCGCATTCGGTCGACGGATCTTGCGCATTGTTATTGGCCAACGCGTTGCAATCTTTCGGAGGCGCACTATTGTGAATCGCACGTATTAAGGAAGCAAACAGTTCATCAACGTGCTTAAACACTTGGAACATTAACAGTGAGCCCGATTGCCAATTCAGTTGAAATAAAAGACGTTATTCTTTTTTATTTTTGTCTCTTTTTTGCAGGAACGTGCCGTTTGTTTTCGTTGGTTTTGGGGAGACAAACATGAACGACGCTCCTTACAACCAACGTGTACCGCCGGGTTGACTTACGTATAAATCACCAACTCTTACATCTCTCTTTAAAAGGATTGACTCATTTGATTCTGAGGTGGTAGAAGAATGTCAAGAGTTAAATCTAAAACAACAAAGAGATAAATTTGAGAGCTACTGGTGTTTTTTCTTTATTAAAAGTCTGTAAAAAGTATTTCGTATGCGAAGTGTCATTTTTACTATTAAAAATGAACATAGCTATCGAAAAACTACATGTACTTTTATGAAGCTTATGCTGTTATGTTAATACCTTGTTCATTTTTAATAATCGTTGGAAAAAGGTACTGTACCTTCAGATGTCTTACTATACACCATTGGTAAAGCTTCGTTTTACTTTTAAAACTCAGTTGGCAACGTACAAATCTCGGTTGGTCGTCAAAGATCTATCACGTTTAAATCATCCTTGGTTCGAGAAAATCCTCATCCAAATGTTTTGTAATGTCAACAAAAACAATTTGGGATGACGTACGAAGCACTGTTCCCCTGTCAAATTGTATCCCTTTAAATACCACATGTGAGATAGGAAAGAATGCGGGTGCACTTCCCTCATTTTGATAGGAAAGATGAGTTGTGAATTTGCTGTGGCTGTTAAACGTGGATTGTTAGGAGATGATGAGTGATTTCTATTAGGAATTGGCTCAGATTAGATCTGGAGATTGGCTCAATGAAAACACCTGTGTCTCACCTTTCCAGGTCAACCAACGTCGTCCGCCCCAATGAAAATAACGCAAGAAATCTTGCAAAGTTTCCATTGTCTTTTTCCGTCGTCTTGGCCACTGATCATTTATCGTTGCTATAGGCCTACTACGCAGTGTATGCTTCGCAGTATATACTACGCAGTGTTCACCGGAACCTTATAGAGGGATCCCAATACGACGCTTTTAACATCGATCTGCGCACTTCTGCGTTTGAAAACGAGGCTGTATGTGTCAGCTTCAATTCTTAATACGATCAGACGATTGAAAGTAAGGAGTCAAGACACAAAATACATAAAGGTATGTTAAATTCAGACTTTTCAGGCTGAAAAGTTTTGTGGAAGAGTCTTTCAGGCTGACTCGACGCGTAATCAAAAGAAAATATAACGACAATTGACTGCGAACTAACGTACCTGCGATGGTCGTATATCTTGTACAGTGGGCGTGATTTAAACTGAAGTGGCGTCACACTTACGAAGCGGATACTCCATGTAATGTGTGGACTCCGCGGGCGCGCGCGACGAAGTTCAACACATAGAGCCTCGGTTTCGATGCAGATATGCGCAGACGGCGCTAATGTGAAATCCCTCTACAGTAAATACTTACAAAGTGTCACCTTCTGTAACCCGTTCACTTTAATAGCAATAATGAAGGCACTGTCAATCCACCATACATGTGTAAGTTTAGAATAAATTAATTTCAAGCATTTTAATAACTTGACCTTTCTTTTCAACGTTCATACCCCAAAGTACATGACATATACATGAACATAATTGGACCCATCTTTTTGTGGGTCGCCGATAATCACATCTCTTGTTAATTCTTCCATTAACCGTGCAGTTTTTCCAAATGATTTTAAGATGTTTACTGTCGCTCCCATTCCAAAATCTCGCAACCTAGAGGCTGATCAAGCCGAACTGCTTAAGAATTATCGGCCAGTTGCCAATTTACCATTTGTCTCTAAGGTTCTCGAGAAGGTGGTTGCGCAACATCCGACTAATCATATGACTAGGTTTATGTTACATTAACCTTTTCAATCGGCATATAAGCGCCACCATAGGAAGGAAACGGCTCTCGCCCGCATTCAAAATGACATTTGGAAAAATATGGATGAGGGCAAAGTTTCCAATCTGGTTTTTCTTGATCTAAGTGCCGCTTTTGATACGCTTGATCATGACATTTTGCTTCATTGATTAAGGACACATGTTGGAGTCTCACAAAATACCTTCAAGTGGTTTTCTTCTTTACACCTTAGAGACGGTTTACAAAGAGTTCAGATTCGGTCTTTATCGCCTGATGGTCGGATCGGATGTCGGAACCATGAGTGACGCCTGTACACTTACGGAGACGCCTATACAAGTACGGTGTCCCTCAGGGCTCTGTACTTGGACCACTTTTATTCAATGTGTATATGTTGCCATTAGGGGATGTTACTAGGCATCATGGACTGAGTTGTCATTTTTATGCAGATGACACTCAGTTGTATTTGTCAGCACAGCCAACTGCCAGTAACATACAGCAACAAGTGTCAGTTTTGGAAAAGTGCTGTGACGACATCAAATGTTGGATGGCGATTAATTTTTTGAAGCCAAATGATGATAAAACAGATCTGCTTATTATTGGATCGCATATGTCGTTGAGCAGAATTCCTAGGACTGTTGTGAATATAGGTAATCACAATATTACCGCACTCTCTGAAGTCAAGAATCTCGGTGTGATTTTTGACAACAAAATGAATATGCAATCCCACATCAAGAATGTCTCTCGCAGTGCAATGTATCACCTGTACAATCTAAGCAAAATTAAACGTTATTTGGGTCAATCAGCCATGGAGCAGATTATTCATGCACTTGTTATGTCTCAGCATTGACTATTGTAACTATGTTTTAATTGGTCTATCGGCGTCAGCCCTTGCTCCTTTGCAGAGAGTCCAGAATGCTGCAGCAAGGTTACTCACTAATGGCAAGAAATTTGACCACGCTACTCCTGCGCTGATGCAATTACATTGGTTGCCAGTAAAATACAGGGTAGTTTTTAAAGTGTGTCTCCTGATATTTAAATGTCTTCACGACAGTGCTCCAAGTTATTTAAGTGATGTGCTTGATGTTAGGATTCCTAGTCGATTCACCCGTTCTGCGTTGGACTCGTCTAGGCCTACTCCCCCCAAAACTAGGCTGTCTTCTGCTGGCGAGTGGATGTTTTCTGTGGCTGGTCCCCGTCTCTGGAACCAGCTTGAAGTTCAACTTAGAGAGTCTAGGAATGTGGAGAGTTTTAAGACCGGGCTGAAGACGCACCTTTTTAAACAAGCATTTTTAGTTTGTTAGTATTGATTTTAACTGTGGTACATGTAGGTTTTATTTATTTCTTATTTATTTATTCATTCATTTAGTTATGTATTTCTTTATTTATACTTATACTCATACTGATGTACAGCGCCTGGGAGCAGTTTGATGGATTGGGCGCTTTATAAATGTCAAGTATTATTTACTATAGTTATTTTTCAATTGCACCCTCCATATAAAAACCGTACCGTTCTTCATCCCTGTAACTGTATGTATTCCTGTTTGTAGTGGGTGCTGGCGAATATGCGTCATTTTGTAAATGCATGAACCGAGGAGATATCTAGATCTAATCTAGATAGAATGAAAATTACGTTTTCAAAGTTGTAGTTAAAGAGTATTATGATTGACTACAGTGTGAGATCTGTGGGTTCTTGTAAAGGATGAACTTGTCTGTGCGATAGCGTAACAATTTTAATGTCTGCAATGGACTGGTTATATTTACAGAATTCATGTAAAGACGGGAGATTTCAGCTCTGTATTTGCATTATTCTTGGTTGTGTGTGTCTATGTTTTCCTGTGCAAAGACTTCAGAGTTCAAAGATGGTGGTAATGGTTAGACATGTTTGTGTGAGACTTGTTAGCTAAAGATGGGAGTGACCTAGATGCTGATAGGTGAACTGTATTAAACGATGTTTGTTGTTGATTTATGTGTGTATTAAGTTACATGTAACACAGAACGTAGAAGTGATTGAGTAAACTCAGCGAGCAATGGTACATAATTCATTTTATTCACCATTTCGTCGAAGTTTACGTCACACTACTCGTGTTATAGTTATTCTCTTGTTGAAATATTACCAATGGTGTTTACTGATCTTAAGGCAAGCATGATGGAAAACAGGCGTACACCGTTATGGGCATACATCATTTATGTTGTTTATTTTTTGAAGGCACAGAAATAAGTGTTATTCAAGTTGGAGCATGTGTTTTACTAAATGATGTATAAATACAGGCCCGATAGATACATAAAGTACTGTCATCCACAACTTTAATGAAAATCTTACCAAGTATAGAAAAAAGGAAACTTGTACAAGATACATGTACATTCACTGTACACGAATTGTTACAATTGTAAAGCTTATTTGCAATGGCCTCTTCTGATTGGTGCTTCATTAAACTTTTTTAAAACAGGTATTCCTGTCTTCTTTTCTTTTTTTTTGGTAGGCCCTAGATTGTTTTAGAGCAGTGGCGCACCCGAAGGTACTCAGGGAGCTTGAGCCCCCCTCCAGGTTTTGTTTTCTTTCTAAAAGAAAAATACAATACCGGTTCGTAAGTGACTTTGTCACACACGCTCCATTGCAGGCTCTCATTGGACGAACACTAAAAGTTGCGCGTTAACTCCCGGTTCCATGTAACACCGTGTGCAGTGGGTGTGGTTTAAACTGAAGTGACGTCACACTTACTAACCGCCACGCTACGCGACGGGGGAGGACGCTTTGGCATCATGAGCTATCGGGGGGGGGTATAAATTCCAGTTTAACCCTACCACCGCGACACTGTTTCCGAGTAAACTCTTTAAAAACTAAAATAACGCACGGAACGCTTTCGTGAATTTTTGTATGTTCAAATCGTATTAAAGAAATTCACGAGGCTGTGACTTGAACAACATACGTCACAGTTGATAAGTATTGTATCTGTTTTAATTGCTACAAAGCAGAAAATAGTGTTACGGCGATAAAATGTACGTATGCTGTTTAAACGTAATGAGCAAGGATTTTATTTTTATACTTATTCTTAATATTATTAATTTTAATATGTTTATCACGAAACTGTCTTCATGTTTAATCTTCAATCACTATTTAGTCTCAATGAATTTCTTAATGTAAATGAAAGTTGTTTATTAATAATATACATGTTAATGATAGTAGGTGACAAATTATCTACTGATTGTTGTCTGAGTTATTTTTCTGGTTGTCTGTCTGACCGCCTTTCTTATCAAACGACTCCTCTTTAATTGGTAAGTGCCTTTACTTTAAATTTTACTTTGCTGTAACCAAAATATAGAAAAGCACCTCTGATTTTAAAACAGGCTACGTTTGGTAAAAAAAAACTTTCAGATGATCCTGTCCGAGGTACTCCTTGATCAATGATGAACAATCAAGAATCGAGGTCTGAATTTTATGATTAAAAAACTCTTCTCGGAAAAATTTGCATGGGGATGTTATTTCAGGAATGGAATGTAATTTTAAGCGAAGGGAGTAGAATTGGGTGAGAAGTTTGATTGCTTGATTGTGAAAGTGAAAATATGAAATGAGTGAGAAGTGGACGTGAATTGAAGTGTGGAGGTCGTAGTCTGGAGGGATGCAACTACATGTAATTATATCCTGGTCAAACTACTTATTGACCTTGCCTGGAAACTTACAGCTGAGACCAACATGGTTCCTTATGCAATGACACGGGGGGGGCAGCAACAACAAAACCGACTCACAAAAATGTTGGTTCATAAATTCATTTTCTTCATTCGTGCAATTTCCCGTGTGGTAGGTCCACGTGAGTTTACACTTGTCGTTGCAAATGCATACATGCATGTATCACATCAACACAACTCCCGCGGAGCTGTTCTTTCTTGGATATCGGTACTGTAAATATCAATTAGCGATATAAAAGCCCATTTAGGCAGCTTGGATTCCAAGAAAATCATACTGTATCTAGCTTTGCGTTCGTTTTCTTTTCAAATCCTTAGTCATTAGCATGCACGTACTAGAGAATATTTATCCCTCGTTCAGCTGAGTTTAAGTGATTGGAATGAAATATTGGACCGATCGTGAGTTTCTAAATTTGTTCTCAAAGTGCTTTTAAATGAGGGTGGAGGATATCATGGATTGCAAAATTTCCGGGGAGGGGGTGTGCCACAGACCCCGGCCGCCAAACACATCTTTTGGTTTCTATCATATCCTGAAAGCTCGCTCCGGATCCGCTGTTGGCACAGCCGACATTGTCGCGCTCATTTCTCCGAATTTTCTCAATTAAGCGCAGGGTGCCTAACCGTCGTCCAGATTCCAAGGTCCTGAAATTATATTTTGTCTCTATCAGACACAGGTGTTCTGCTGTTCTCAGACAACATTGAGGACATGACGGATATGGACAATGCAGGAGGGATTTACCTTCCTCTTGGTGCAGAAGATACCCACAAGAAGACATCTGAGTTTCTCGGTCTGGATGACGAAGACGACAAAGACCTCTTGAAGTAAGAGTTCACAATTATGGGAAAAAAAGCAGTTTCGAATTCGTTATCTGAAGTTCTTGTCTTTGAAGGAGTACTTCTTTCGTGGTACACAATGCGTTGGCTCTGGTTAGAGTTACAAGAAATTGCTCTTGTCGGGAAAAAACCCTGAGAAATTACAGTTTTCACACTGACATGACATTGGCAAGCTTCTATTCGTAGACTTATAGTGCCAGAAGATAAGATGATTTCTCTGAAAGTAAGCAGGATATCATCAGTCCGAATGCCGTCAGAGCAAACTGTTTCTTTTCACAAGCTCTCGGAAAGTGCAGAGAACTTGCCTCTTTGACAAGTTATTTTTTTGTCGTTACAGACATTCAAGCAAAACAACTAATATCTTGTCAACATGACTAGCGTTTGCTTTTGAATGTATATCTTTGAAATACATTGTTTGGGAAGAAACCATGGGGGATTGATAGCCGAGGGATACATTGCCAAGCAGTAGCATTGTCAATTTGTACACAGCATTGAAGATGACCTAGATCAGCTACTCTCAGATGTCATCAAGAAGCCTGAGAGACCTGCCAAGAAACCATCCCCCAAATCAAAGCCATCACCCGCCAACAAGTCATCACTATCAGCAGGCAAACCTACTCTAGCCCAAAGACCCGTTCCAGCTGCCCGAGCGACAGGCCCAGGGAAGACCCCACCGAAGCCAGCTCCAAGGAGAGGAAAGACGACCTCTACTGGAGGAACACAGGCAGCTGGGACCCAATCTGAGGGACAGAACGTTGAAACGATGGACGACGGTGACATTCTGAAGTACATTCAGGAGAATGCAGCAGACGAGGCGGCTAGTTTGGATCTGTTTTAGAACAGAAACTGACTGGTAACAAATCTGGACATCTGGCCAAGGGGTCAAAGATAGAAGAAAATTCCACAAAAACCATTCCTGAATTCTCGCAGTCGGGATGACATCACTGAATCTTGACTCTTCTCGCTGAGTGGCTATTCCATATTTCTCACTCAAAACTTAACAGGCAAAAATAGTGTTGCAGTCTGTAGGGAAAATCTAAATTATTGACTAAACTCTTAACCTTTACATCAAATATGCCCGAAATTTCACTGTTCATGTACTGTGAATATCTCCCACATTGTACCGAAAAGAATTCAGTTATTTCCATGTTGCAGCAAAAGAGAAGGAAACATGCAAATCCTTGTACAAAATGAATGGAAAGTTGCCCCTTTATCCAGCCGCAGGTGCAGTAAATGGAACAACCTCCGACCACGAGAATCAAACTATTTTACAGACAGAAGTAGCCCAAATAAAAAAAACCAAACTTAATACAGAATGTACTTCGTGACATGTTTTATTGGATTGCCAAAAGAGACTCTAGAACATAGACAAATAAGTGCGTGAGTCTGAATTTAAAGTCTTCAAAGCCTCATGTACTTAGGAGAAATGGGTTTGCAGGTACACCATGGATTCAATCTCTTATGCCAAGGTATGGTTCTCATTGATTCCATGGTGTACCCACAAACCCATTTCTCATGTCTCTTCCACCATGCAAAGCTTCAAATTGTGCTTAAATGTACTCAAATTAATTATTGCTACTTCTCAAGAAAGAATTGGTGCAACAGAAGCCAGGGTATGCCAGGTTTTTTAATTTGGCGTAAATGGGTGCATGTCTTACAGACAGTACAATGCTGGTTTCATCAAACAACTGTTACGGTGATAAAGTAATAATTACTTCAAATTGATTTCATCACTTAAATTAAAGTTACTTTATAATCAAAACAAATAACTTCATCAATCAAAGCTGTGTTTAGAAAAGAGGCTTTTAAATGTGATAACTGCCAAAAACAGTACTGCAAGAAAACAGTACAGTATAAATTTATCAAAGTTTTCTATTTGAACGAACTGTTACAAGGCTGATTTAAATTTTTTTCATAATTACCCACCATGCTGACACATCTTTTCTAATTTTGTTGCTCTCAAAAGGTTCCATCAATGTTTATGTTAATACTCGATTCTTAAGTTAATACTTAATACTACATAGAAATTGCCTCTCGTAATACACAATCGTTAATACCTGATTTTTCTTTTAAATGAATAAAAATATCATTGGATGTTGTATGTTGTAAAGTATACTTTTATAATGATACAAAGAAATGTTTTATATATCTAAATTTATATTTAGAATTTAAATTTGCACATTAAGAACATCATTTGTACTCTTGAAAGATTTCTTTTGGAATAGAACCTAGATTTTTGTGCAAAAAAATTATTCATCATTTTATAATGGTTATGAAGAACTCAAAAATCGTTATTGCATGGTATCTTATATTAAACTTCACTTCAAGAACAAACTATGAGAGAATCAATATATGTACATGTATCATACTCCGTTTCTGTTACTTGGGGCAAAGTAGCCTCCCCATTTTAGTTCACTGAAAATTAAGTTTGTGACCATTATTTGAAATTCACTCGTAAAAAAACATGAAAAGGAGTGGGACTGCATAGAAACTCAGCAACCTTTTTTAAAAACTGTTTCAGAAGTACATGTATCAATATTCCAATTAAAATAAAATGAAGGGAAGACACACCCTTTGGATCAACTGCATTGGCCAGCACTCTTATCTGTTTTCCTGTCTTCCGTAGTTTTCAGAAGCCATTGCAGCATCTTAAAGCCACACAGCATGTCTAGCAACTATCTTCCTCAGCTTCCACACAAATCATTCATTGCTGTGAATCAGAGCATCTTCGCTGTTTTTAACAAACACCCTCACAAGGTATACCTGTTTTTCAGCCTGAGGTAGCTGATGATCTTCATTCCAGTAAGAAAACTTCATTTTGTGACTATGAACAAAATATCAGAAAAGAACCAGATCAACTTTTAAGACAATACTTCCAACTTCAGTTGCATGACAGGTTATGTGCCATTGAACATTTCTACATCAATCTCTTGCAGCCTTCCACTTTGCACACAATTAAAACCAGCTCTTCAATCTGGGCCAATAGTTCCAATGCAATTTAAATAGTCCTTTTCAAAGTTTGAAATACATTGTAATTACAGTGAAAAAGGTCCAGGAATCAAATGTAAACTAACCATGTCAATATCTCTGGTCCATACAGCCTGACACCTGCCCTTGCATATTGGACATGGTCTCTTTCAGGTATATCCACTGCATTCCTCACAATTTGGATTGAAATGACTATGATGCCAACTAGCATGGCAGCTACATTATGGAAAAACAAACGGAATAATGATTGCAAATGTAACAGAGAAAAATGGCACGCTATGGGGAATTAGCAAAACAACAAAAACTCTAACTAAACCAAGAATCTTTAAAGGAAAAGTCGCAGGAAACTGAATTAATAAAGACTCAGACACCAATATTTGACTCCAAAAAAGGGACAAAAAAATAATTCATTAATGAAAAAGTACAGGAAAAATGCAAAAAAAACTAAAAGGACTCAAGGACTAAAAACACCCAAAGGCTTAGATTTTCAAAGACTTAAAACCAAAACCCAAACCCAACACAGGGCATAAAATGGACCTTATGAGTTTACACTCGGACTGCAATCACTGACTTCTAGCAGAATAGGGCTCAAGTAGAAAAACCACACTCCAGTTAGGAGGAACAATACATAGGTACATGTGAAGGTGACTGGTCTCTGCTTATCTGCTACATTGAATGTGACCAGACCATGTGGTAACTCTAGGGTGCACCACTACAAATAAATTCCCATAGACAGCAGTGATAAATCCACATACTT